GGAACAGCGATTCTTTATTGTAATTAGCTCAACACATGTCCTATTCTCAACTAAACGTTAAACCGCCAAGAGAGACCTTGTATATGTCAAATAAATCTCAGGTACTACTGCATTTACAGAAGATCAGAATAGGACTGAGGTACGTAAAACTTTACCTCTAACAACAAAACACGCAGAGAAAAAAGAAAGGAACATTTTAGTTTTTCAAGTGAAATTGAACTTTCCCAGTTAAAAGTATCGAGGGAATATAACCAGTAAAGTTAGAGTTCTTCAGGTATGCTGTACAGAACAGGCGTCCAAGAATCTCCGCTTCTAACCTTCGCTTGTGTTGCTCTCAATACATGTCTTCTGCGCATGAAATTCAAGCGCTGTTCCAAAGACATAGATGGAGTGGATTGACATGGAATCCCTTTGCCATCTCTAACCACCTCGACCACGTGCTTTAGATCTTCCTTCTTCACCCGAATTTTCATCTTCATCGATCCATTTTCAGAAGTTTGGCAAACAGCTTCTCCACCGTTAACCTGTGCAATGGCATTCAAAATGTTACTCACTACTGCCTTGTGATTTCTACCTCTTGAAACCCTGAATTCTCTTCTTTGCCAAGTCTTTTCTTCTGCAACTTTCAACTCCATTTTCTCCTCTCTCAACTTCTCGACGTTTGTCGTATGGTTTTTAGGTTGTTCTTGCCTATGGTCTATGGATGTTGACAACTTTTATAGTGATCTCATGCCAATTAAATTAATAGCTTGGCGGAGTACGGTTAATTGAATATCAATTGTGACTTTGAACAGACAACTTTCATTCTCATTCTCTATGAATGTACATATCAGCATTTGACTTTGGTAGAAGCTTACTCGTAATTCCGTTCATCTAAGCTATTATTGAATGGGATTTAGGAGAGGCTGTACGTGTCTACTTTTAATTTTGTTCACCATCTCAAAATTCTAAGCTATCTAACTAATCTAGTATCCGTTTGGCTCCCATTAAATTAAATTTCCTTCTTCTCTCATATCTTCAATCACACAATCTTCCATAAAATAATATTACATATTTGAATTTTTTTCTTTTTTTTTTAACTACTCATTCTTCAAAAATATACTATTCCACCCATTTTAATTTGAAAAAGGGAGCCAAACGGGGGTTATTTTCGACCATTCCGTTAGTTTCACTAATTGGCAGGCTGGCTAATAATGCATTAATTGTGATGTCTGAATTATGCATTAGTTTTTATATAGCAATATCATTTGTTCACCAACCCAACCCAACTCAACCCATCACATGCAAATCCATATTTTGCGCAGGTAGAAATTGGATTGCAAATAATGGCTACAAGTTTGGTGGAAGATATAGGATCAATTTGGTACAACTTTTGTAAAGTTTGAAGTTGCTCCTAAAATTAAAAAGTTGCTTTTGAATATATTTCTATAATTTTTTAAAAGTATTTTGTTAGACAAAAGGAGTTTTTAAAGGAAAATTCTACAAAAAAACAACAAAGTAGAAGCCCAACCAAGCGGGTCTATACTGAATTATTAATAAGTGTTGCGACTTAGCCCCCATTTAGGCTCTATTTTTTCAAAATTTATTTTCAACCACATATTTTTTTTAATAATATAATATTACACATAAATTTAAAAATTTTCCTTATTTTTCTAACCATATATTCTTCAAAAAATAACTATTTTAAATACATTTTTTTTCGTCCAAAATCTCATTTTAATGGAACCAAAACGAGAGCTTAGGCTAATTAGTTCAAGCGTACAATATGGAATGATGATAAAGAAATATGAAGGTGGATTTTAAATTGAAAGTCGGCGACAGGAGCTTTGGCGTTAGTTTAAAAGCTTGGCTAGCACATAGTTGAACAATAATGCTAACAGCCTGGCTCAATGACTATATCTCTAATAATTTTTTTTTTTTAATTATCGGTGGAATAGAAAAATATGCTTAGGAGTTTATAATCAAAATAATAATTGGACTATGATCCACTCCAAAGATCAATCATGGCATGAGGACAAGGAAAAGATCTTGAGGAAAAAGCGGTCGATTAAAATAGAAGGCTGCCAAATCATTGTAGAATTCGAGTCATCATAGAACAAACTATAAATCAGCAGACCTAGAAAGCAAAAATCGTCAAATTGAAATTGTCTTTTCAAAATTGTTAGTGTTGTCACCTAAACCCGTATACAAAATGATTTTGAATTTACTAAACCTTCGTCTTTCACTGCAAATGTCGATGTCCAAAGTGCACCGCAAAGTGGGTCGAATTTTTGTCTCCATCTTAAGTGTTGGGAAAAGATCAGGGAAAGGAGGTGTATCCAAACAACTTACAAACTAACCTGGAACAAAGTTGTCTTCTTTATATGGAAAGTCTCGAACCAATGGATTCATTCTGAAAGTTGGGAAGAACAAGATGCAAATCACATTGGCATTTGTATTGGGTCTCAATTAGTGGAAATTATAAGAGTAAATTACCTTAAATCGTATTTTTAAATAAACAATCTTAAATAAGGTTACCTCCAAAATGGGCAAGATAAAATTTTTCACCATGAATAGGAGAACGAGTGTAAAAACATATACGGTTCATACCCACTCCACTTGTCTATATAAATAATACATTGTGACCCATGGGTCAAACAACCTACCCCACTGTACTGTAAATATCTTCTCTAAGCCCCCCGTTTTGCCCCCATTATTTGGATTTATAATTGGTGGAATAGTAGTTTTTTGAAAAACGAATGATTGTAAAAGAATGAAAAAATTTCGATTTGCGTAAAATATTATTTTATTGAAGATTGTGTGGTTGAAAATAAGAAAGTGAAAATTTTTAATTAAATTGATGAGTTTAAAAGAGGGGCAAATGGGGATAAAATAGAACTCTTCCCCTTTACGTATACAAACATAACTCTCTCTCTCTCAATATATGTACGAACACAAATATTTACATATATATACTCTCTCTCTACCCCACCCTACTTAAACCCTACATAATGAAGTTGGTTGTCATGGAGTCAAGGAGGGGATTTTGCCACCAAAAATGCAATTCAAGCAAACTCTCGATTGTTGTATGACGGCAATGCTGCAATGACGGTGGCATTGTAGGGACAAAGACTGTAGAGATGGTGGTGAATTTGACGTGAAAGTGGTGGTGGTGATAGATTTGATGTAGTGGTGGCGATTTGAGTGGTGCCATGGTGGTCCAAATAATGGATGTCGGGTTCTGATACCCAATAAATCTAGACTATGATTTAAAGCAGATCTCAAATAATTTATCGAAATCATAGTGCTTGGCTAGACCCAGAAACGACCAATAGGCTTTTGTATGGCCTAAGTTGTTGAGTTGGATGGTTGGCCCATGTCGTGATAAGTTGGGAGATTGGTTGTGGAGCCCGTTTACATGTATTCTTGGCCCAATTGAGGGAAACCTAATTGAAGCCTTATATCCATCCCATTCCCAGCTGTGACGTGTGTGTGTGTGTATGTGTGGGGACTAAAACACGGAGAGAAAAATAGTGAAAGGGGCAGCCCCTTTCTTTTCTTTTCTTTTCTTTTTTTTTTTGGGGGGGGGGGGGGGGGGGGAATTTTTAAAAAATCTTTTTTTTTTTTTTTTGGGGGGGGGGGGGGGGTGAGGAATTTTGAAAGACTTCCACCACTGTTGCTTCATCATTTTCTTCTGTAGTCACCACCAAAATCATTAGAGTCATCTTTGTGGTGGTAAAGATAGTATTGGTTTGGTTTGGGATGAGCTTGTCAATTGGTATTCATTCGATTGATTTTTTTGAGTCGAATCAAGATTTCTTGAAGTTGGTTTTTCTTTGTCATTGGGTTCTAATCATAACCAGCTCTTTTCTTTTTAAGTAGGACCGTTATTACTATTTCTAGGAATGGTAATTGAACCGAACAACTTGTTTGGACTCGGCCGGTTAAAGACGAGCCCAAGCAAGACCCTAAAAAATTTGGCTCGTCCAAAGCTTGTATGGGCAAGGGCCGCCGGCTCGGCCCATTGCCAAGGTGGGCTACTGAGCTATTTTCTCAAATTTTTTATTATTATTAATTTTTTTAATTGGACTATATAGGGTGTATTGGGATACCATTATCAAAACTTAGAGAAAAAAAAAAAAAAAAAAACATATTTGCAACAAAAATCTGCATTCGACACATTTGAAGGGGATTCTTTAATTATTTGCTGCGAATTACCTTTCTAACTTGTGAATTAGAATAAGCACCAACTTGGTTAAGTTAAAAGATGTGGATAGAAATTTAATTTAAAATTGATAATTTATTTTAACCACACATTTTATGAAACAATAATTTTTATTTTTCAACAATAAATTTAAAGAAATTTTATGAAAATCTACTTAAAAAGTTTACTTTTAGCAAAATCAAAGAGGGCTAAATATGCAATTAGGGTATCGATTTTTATTTCATAAAATAAATAAAAAAAGTCAATAGCAGGAAATTAAAAATCAATTTCATATGAAAAATATGTTTGTTCTATCATTTATTAAAAAATTTGTGACTTTTGATGCATGATAATTCATTAGTCGCTGCCACTCAACCGAATTGAAGGAGGAAGTAGGTGGATCTTTCGTTCCCATGTAGTCGTGTTCGTAGGTGGATCAGTGTTTATTTTTTATTTTTATTTTTAAATTCATTTTTAATTACATATTTTGAATAAAATAAATTTATACCTAAATTCATTTTTTCAAATTTTTAATCATATATTCTTTAAAAAATCACTATTACAGAATTCATTTTTCATGAGTTTTATAATAATGAATTTTTTTTTAGAATATGTAGTTAAAAATTAGAAAATAATTTTGAATATTCGTGTAATTTTTTTTTATTTGAAGAATGTTTGGTTGAAAAATAGGTCGAAAACAAAATAAGTTTTTAGATAAATGTCTAAATAGATAAATTTGGGTTGATTTTTCTAAAATTGGAAAAAATGAGGGGTAGATTTTGCAAAAAAGCAAGTTGCTCATGCTGGAGTGAAGTTATTATATTATGAACAAAAGTGACGAAGTTCAAGCGTCAAACTTGCTGATCACATTCTCCTCTTATTGTAACTGACACAAACAATCCACAGGAAGATATGGAGAATTGGGGGAGTTTAAGTCACCTGTTCGTTACAGTGTTCCTCTCGAATGTAGCGGGCTTAATGGTGAATCCGGCCATCACTGACGTTACAATGGCGGCAGTGTGTCCTGGTAAAGACGAGTGTTCACTTGCCATTTACCTTACCGGCTTCCAACAAGCGGTACGATTTTACTTCATTCCTATCTTCATATTCACCTTTCTTTAATTCAATCTACTGCAATTCATTTTTGCTTCTCTTTCTGTAATTATTAGTACTTTCATTATTGATTTTAAATATTGGATTTGGAAGCTACTTAGTGCAATTGTTATATTCCGAATCAGAAGGTCTCAAAATCTCTCGATAATTATATTTCCAGCATAAGGATATAATTTGGTGTTTTTGCAGACATCGTAATTTTTTTAACTACTTTTCCTTTCTTGTATTGTGTGTTATTTTCAAACAAGCTATCAGAGTATACGGCAATGTTTTATGCATTTCCGTGAATTAATCATCATATATTGTGGTGCTCCTATTGGCTGGATGGAATACTGTTTTTCTCTCCTCTTCTTCCCCAACCGAACAGGAGTTTTAAACTGTTTGCTTGCATGTTTTTCCGTGTGAAAGGACTTATTTTCTTTCTCTAACACCCCACTCCTCCCTGAAATTGCAATCTAGATTTGGGTTAACAGGTGGACTTGTAGATTAGGAGGACAATTTTATAGCCTCCGTAGGCTTAAGTACTTGTTGAAGGGTTTGGATCTGCTCGATGGATCGATATATTGATAGAGTGTTGAATAACAGACTTGAATTATAGAGTACAAAGGGCCAATTTGGTTGTGAGAACGGGTCCCTTGGAGAATAATATAGATGCTTTCTGCATATAAATAGAAAGGAGAGAAGTGGTATGAGATGGTGAGATTTGCTTTACCACATGAAGAATCTCAGAGCATTGATAGAACTTAAATTAAAAGGTTGGTTTCTCATAACATATCTGAAGAGTATACACTATAAGCAGTATATATGGATTACAAACTATCATAGATAAGTGCAGATATATCGTGTGGATAAACTAGCAGCTGGTCATCAATTTAAACGAAAATAGATTTTACCCTCTATCACACTGTTTTGACTAGAGTAGCTACGAAGCAAAAATTACAATTTTCTATGCACCACATAACCTCTACTTAAATGTCACCGGATTATCATAAATATGGGGAACTAAGCCTGACCTTTGACCAATTCCGGTGGAGCCAGAAAGGTTGTTCAACTGTGCTTTTATTAGTCTGTTCTTCTTATTCAGACATTCACTAATTATTCACAAATTATAAGCTATACAAAGTCTGTTCATGCTTAGTCGCTACTTCATATTTATAGACAGCGGAATTGATGGCATTGCTTAAAGTTTTGAATTTCAAAATCTTGTTTTATTCTCCGTTTTTTACAAAGAGAAAAGATCAAAGAATAATCACAATTTTCATCAATTAATTTTGGAGCAAAAGTATACCGTGTAAAGTTATAACTTATGGGGTAAAACAAATTTTTACCAAGCACTAATGGAGGAATGTTATGCAGATTGCAGGATTGGGGTCTGTTGTCATGATGCCATTGATTGGGAATCTGTCTGATGCTTATGGAAGGAAAACTTTGCTCACAGTTCCCTTGGTTCTCTCCATTATTCCACTAGGTACAAAGTACTATATGGTTTTGCTTATTTAAAGAGTGCTTCCATGGGGAATGTTCCAGCTTTTGATAGCATTCTAAGCCAGCAATTCTATTGGTGGAGCAATAATGAGTTGTCATTGATCTCATAATTTGATGCAGAGAAAGTATATTCAGTTCTAGATTTAGATCATAGACGAAATATTATTCTGACATTTACACGTAGAAGACTTAAATTTTATGACTAAAATAAAATTATAAGCAATTTTTTTCCTTATGAAGTAGCAGCAACACGTATAGACATAACATACCTTTAATCTGGTTACATATATATCCACTCATCATTGGACCAACATTGTGCAGGCATATATGACTGGCCTGTGAGATAAATCTGTGAGAAAGTAATTTTAAATAAAAAAAATTTGGGCGATTTTTTCACATAGAACCTTCTCTCGCT